TTAAATAATTTATATAATATATTTTTTAATATAAGTATATATTAATTTATACAACTCAACCAGCCTATAGTTTTGTTTCTTAATTAGTATTATATTTATTATAATTTTTTTGAGAACGTTTTTAAGACATAATATATATTTTATTAAAATTTGTAAGTATGAAATATATATATATATAATATGAATATTTTTAAAAAAAATCAATAAAAACTAAGTAACACGATTTAATTAATAATTTACCATTTTGACTTATGACTCATTAATCTAGTAACTTAACTAATTTTATAATCGATTTGAATTTTAAAACATAATTTATACCAATAATATAGTTAGGAAAAAAAAAACTCATCTTACACTTGGTATGAGTAAGTAGTGTCTCTCTCTCATTCTTTATTTCACAATTATCTCGTATCTTCCACATGTAAAAGTCTCAAAAATTCAAACCATGACTTGCCACTAGGGATGGCAACAGGCGGGACGGGTACGGGTTTCATGATACTTGTCCCCTTCTCCGCGAGCCAAATTCATTTCAATACCCGTATCTGTACCCGTCGGATATGTGATTTTCATTCTCATCCCCGTCCCTGTCGGGTATCGGGTATACCCGTACCCGTCAATTTTTTTATTTTTTATTTTTTATAAAAAAATATAATATTTTTAAATTATTTTTTATTATATTATAATTATAATTAAGTTATTTTTCTATTTCATATTATAATAAATAATTACACATAAAAAAATATTAAAATTCTTTAATATAATTAAATTAAAAATAGAAACGGGAATGGGTACGGGTACAGGTACGGAACGGGTAAGTACATATCCGTACCCATACCCATACCTAATTTAAAATATTGGGTTTTACCCGTACCCGCACTCGTATCCGATCAAACCGAGTATTTCTTGTCAAAATCGGAACATGTTCGAATATTACCTGCAGGTACGGATATATTTACCATCCCTAGTGGTTCTCCAATATAAAACACCCACTTTCTTGACAATTCTGCCACAATGTTAAACAAAAAGTGTGAAGAAATCAAAATCAAAAAAAGTTGTTTGGATTGTTACAATACTTCTGCGATTACAGCACAGCGCTACTATTACAAGTGGAAAACAAGAGCAGGAAAAGCTCGCTTTCGATTACATGATTACATATGCAATGACGGATGAGTGGGGCAGTTGCCCCACTAAAATTTTGTTTATCTTCTTTTTTATATTAAATATTAATTATTTTATAAAATATATATTATTAATTATATTTTAATTACCTTATTATATCTAATATAATATCGAATTTTACCCGTACCCGTACCCGGACAAACCGGGTATTACCCATCAAAATCGGGACGAGTTCAGGTATTACCCGCGATTACAGGTATATTTGTCATCCCTACTTGCCTCTAAGATAGAACCTAACTCCTACCGGTAAAACTAACGCTCATTTTGTTCATGCACCCTTTGAGTGAATGAGAAGTTGGTTATTATAATTAACTTTTAAATACAAGATTTAATTATTCTTGTGATCCCCATAGTTTCATCATCTTTACTTTCTAATTTTTATAATTAAAAATGTTTCATTTTAATCTCTATACATACTATTTTTATTTTATTTTAATCTTTGTAGTCTATTTTTATAAAAACTAAAAGATAAAATTTATAAAACTATATAAACTAAAAAGAAACAAAAAAATTATGTATAGGGACTTAAAGATATATTTTATAAAACTATAGAAATTAAAAAAGTAATTAAATAATATAACCAATAAACAAATAATCCTGCCATTTAATAGAACACCAATTTACAAATAAATTTACCCTCATAAGTAAAAAAAAACACCCATACATCACCATCCATTTTTTCCTATTATTCCTACCCTCCTGTATGTTGCTTCGTGTGATCCATACAACAAAATGTTGCTGTGATCCATATAACAAAATGTTTCTGTGCCAAGGATTTTCCCCCCTTTATCTAATATGTCCAGCCACTTTACCTTTGTGAAAACTTCAATCCAAGATTGGTTGCATTAACTCTCGTTTCTTATTGCTTGCAATAGGTAGTTTATCAATATCAAATCCAGAGGAAGAACTAGAACTGGAACTAGAAGAGGAAGAATCATTATCCAAGTCCAAGTCATCCAAGACATTGAATTTCATGCTGAAATCACACGATGAAGCAAATTTTCTTTTGAGATTTCCAATGGTTTCAGCCGCTCCTGATAGAAGTTTTTTCTGCAATGCTCCTGATGAACTTTGAGGATTACCTACAATAGTAGTAGTCTCTTTCTTATCCAATGTTGCTTGTGAATTACATTCATCTTCATCACTGTCTTCTATACAAATAACATTATTGATTTCCAATTTTCCCCCTGCTGGCATCAAAGAGGCATGTTAGTCCTACATGATAGTGTATTTGCCAACAAAAATACTTTAAGCAGAAGCTTGGAAAATGTAGTGCAGTAGACTTTGTAACCCCAATAGAACACTGATAATTTTCTGGCAATCATGGAAAATTCAGCTTCAAGCTGTTTAAATGATTATGCTTTTGTCAAACCATATGGCAGGAAATCCAATAAACTTGTTTCCATAGGAAATCTTTTGCATTTTACACATTACATACACACAATTGGCTCTTTAAGTAACTGAATGCATATATTAAATTTGGACATACATATGGTAGGAAATCCAATTAACTTGTTTGTATTACACAATACACAATACAAAACACACACAGTTAGCCCTTTAAGTAATTGAAGATATACGCATCTATTAAATTTAGATATACATATGGTGTGAAATCCAACAAACTTGTTTGTATTGGAAATCTTTTGCTTTTACACAATAAACACACTTGGCTCTTTAAGTAATTGAAGATATATGCTTTCATTAAAATTTAGATATTAATATGGTAGGAAATCCAATAAACTCATTTTCATAGGAAATCTTTTGTTTTTTACACAACACACAGTCTCAAAGCAGCTCTCCATAAGAACAGAAAAAATTAAGGTAACTGACTTGAGTAAAACCACACCAATCACAGGTTCTGACATCAGGGTCCTCAAATCTCATAGAATATGCATAATCAGAAGTTTGCTAATCAAACCATGAGCTGAACATCTAAAAGAGAAAAAAATGCAGATTCCTGTTTGACATAATGAATCTTTCTTTCACCATATTCATTTGGCCATATCAGTAGAACTGTAGAAGGATAAGGATAAGAACAAGAGGAATGAACTAATAATAAGGTGATTACTAAAATGCTCACCAAATAGGACCAGAATTCACAATATCTCATGAACTAAAGATAACTAGTTCATACCAAAGAATTCAGAAACCTAGCTAAAAAGACAAAATGGAAGTGGTAGAGTTGTGTAGAGAAATTGATGTGTGTGCCAAGTAATGTCATTCAGTAAAAGGAAAAGCCAAGTAAATGTAATAACATGACTGGGTTTTTGCCCCCTCCATGTAACCCTTAAACCCCAATCGTAAGAGCAATTAGTAAAGAGCCAATAATATGTTCTTTTCCAAACAGTTAAAGACACACACACACACATAGAGATTTAGTTTCCTGGCTTTTCCACAAATCCATGCTATTAGCAATTCAAAAACATCAGAAAAAGATCGGAAGATACATATCTTAAGTTGACGGAACAT